TTGCTGTGGAGATAGTTTTCCCCAACAGAAAACAATGATGGAATCTTTATTAAAATCTTGTTTATCAGTAGTGTTGATTAATATTAAAAAAACAAAATAGAATTCTGAGATGATTCAGGCTTCTATCCCAGCAGGGGTATCACAGGGGAGTACATCAGAATCTCAATCTAACTCAGGCCGACAGGCCATTGTGCCACTTGACAGGGTTTGGACATCAACTCAAAGTCTGGTCTCAGTCCTACCATAAATGGACCATCCTTATCACCCGACGCCATATTGATAAACTGATGAAGAATATTGAAATGGTTAGACAGGAGACCTTTGAGTATTTCCAAGTGTCAACATAAACCTTACCGTTAAAGTCCAAGTTATTCTTGTTCAACCCTACTGGGAACCTACCAAGTAGGTTATACTGTTGCTAAAGGATTCCTTTCAGATTCCCATGTCAAAATGAATAAGGCTGTTTTAATCCCATCCGGGGTGAGTGAGTGAGTTTGGTTTTACGCCGCTTTTAGCAATATTCCAGCAATATCACGGCGGGGGACACCAGAAATGAGCTTCACACAATGTACCCATGTGGGGATTCGAACCCGGGACTTCGGCGTGACGAGCGAACGCTTTAACCACTAGGCTACCCCACCGCCCCAATCCCATCCGGAAACACATTGAGTGAGTGAGTTTAGTTTTATGCTGCTTGCAGCAATATTCAGCAATATGAGCTACACACATTGTACCCATGTGGGGAATCGATTCTGGACCTTTGGCATGACTGGGAATGCTTTTACCACTGGACTACCCCACTGCCCTGACACACATTGAGTGGGTTTTACATATCTGTTATATCAGTCTAAGTAAACTTAGCCTCAGTATTATTTGGTACCCTACGATACTGTAGAGGAGTGTAACGAATAGTACTGAGACTAAGTTTACTTAGACTGCTGTTATATCAATGTGTTCCATTACTTCCCATCATGCAACTGCCAGGACCAGTATGGGTTTGTTGTTAATTTAACAGTTGAGTTGAGTTTGGTAGTAGGTCACATCAACCTTTTTGAATTTTCCAGCCATATAGTGACAAGATCAAGCCTGAAATAATACACATTTTAAGTACAAAGTTCAAATGGGTTTTATTTTAAAACCATATATTTTTCCTTATCCTGACTCATGCTCTTTTGCTTGTCTTCTTCTTCTTGCGAACATAGTGGAAACACGTGTATCTCCCTAATTGAAGCTCCCTTCAATGTATAATCACTAATTAATACTCACCATGACTTGCCTCCCTTGACCCAAGCGCGGGAAAGGTGGCGCCACCCTTTGGCCACATGCTTCACTCTCTCCTTCTTCGCCCAGTGAGCAGGATGTGAGAGCGCCTGTGTCTCCCTGCACACTATATCCTTTGATTATTCTTAGTTTATTACCTCTTATTACTTACTAAAGAGGTATAGCTAGTATCCTTTAACAATATGTATTGATAATTACTCGTAATTCTACTGTTTATTCACGGTATTCCGTGATTGTTCAGCTAAGTTTACGTTGATGAAAATCTGTACTGTTTGTAGATTACGTTTTTCTGCTGCTGATCCGCATTTAATATGTCCTAGCTGTACTACGCCTTGTGCGTTTACTTCACGTTGCAGTTATTGTAGTAATTTATCCATTTCTGCATTTAACAAATATCGTTTTTGCGTCTTGAGACGTGCAGCAGATAGATCACGTAAACAAGCCTTAGTCATGGCCGATACATCGGACCCTCTAGCCAGTCCACTGCTGTCGGACGACCCCCTCCCGTCTGGTGTTCCGCTAGAGTTTCCCTCGGAGGAGGGGTGTGGGATGCAGTCCGCCGTCTCCAAGAAGCATCCTGCTTCCCCAGACATCCCGTCATCGCAGCAGAAGTCTAAGAGGGCATCGACTTCATCACAGCGTAAACTCCGCACCCCCAGGGCTACATCCACGTCTAAGGGGAACTCAACAAAGTCCAGCAGTACTTTCTCAGCCGAGATTGTTCCCGTTGCAGAGTTGGGCCTGTATGATGATGATCAACCGATCATCATACCAGACTTACGGCAGAAGAAGCCGTCTCCAAGAAGCGTCCTGCTTCCCCAGACATCCCGTCATCGCAGCAGAAGTCTAAGAGGGCATCGACTTCATCACAGCGTAAACTCCGTACCCCCAGGGCAGCGTCGACCTCCAAGGGAAAAGCTAAGAAGCCAGCTAGAACGTTCTCAGCCGAGATTCTTCCCGCCGCTGAACTGGGCCTGTATGACGACCAGCCGATCATCAAACCCGATCCACGCCACAAGAAGCGACCGGTGTCAGCTACAGTAACGTCAGCAGAGATGCGCCATGCAGCCTGATGTCTCTACACTGATGTCATGAGAGAAACGGCGCTTTGATGAAAATCAAAACACAGTGCATATGGGACTGCGATGGGATTTCATCGCTAAAATCAACTGCCAGGTCAACCGGACAGACAATTTCCGCCCCAGCATTATCCTCCGTACTTTCGGACCACATGATACGCTTGACTTATCCTTGTGCCCAGTGAGAGCATTGAAAGTTTATCTACATCGATCCAGAATAAGGAGGCGCAAGTTTAAAGCGACTTTTTCGTCCCGATATCAACAGTGACACAGGCGGAAGTCTCCGCACTCTGATATCAATCTGGATAAGAACTGTCATACTACAGGCCTACAAAGCAGCAGGACTCGATCCTCCAAGAGCCTCCAACCCACACGAAATTAGAGTGCTGGCGTAAACACTCGCTCTACATGGGAATTGCTCACTTACCACGATCATGGAGGGCTGCTTCTACAAATCGGACATGGTGTTTGCAAACCACTACTTGAGAGATATCGCCACCGAGGACGTCTCAGGCATTCACCATTTCGGCCCACTGGTTGTTGCACAACAGTTGACAGTTCCTCACAGAAGATGAGACGTAGTCTCGCTTTTTTATCACATGACTTATCAAGCCTACACTCAGCGGAGTTCTGCTTCAGTCTCACTGCACGTCTCAAGACTAGCATAAGTGATAAAACCCAGTACTTTTACTCGTACAGTAGGGTCGCTTCTCCACATGGAGTCGCTAAATCCACATCAAAATGTTAACAGAAGTAGGACCAAAAGTTAACAATTGTGGTCCCCCCATCAAAAGGCAGCTGAAAGAACACGATTGCTAACAGCAGCAGAGTTTAGCAGTAATGCAGTGCCATTATGAAGTTCCCGTAGGGGGGTATATATTGACGTAAAATTCACTAAATAAATCCTAAAGTGCTTTTCCCACCACCTTTTCCGTCGGATTCTACAAGCAATTAAGCATGAGTCAGGATAAGGAAAAATATGTAATTTTCTGAATAAAATTGATATTTTATACTTATCCTGATTCATGAGGTAAGCCCTCCCAACCTCCCCACTAGACACTTTGGATTTCCCTGCAAATTCAAGTGTCGGGCTCATATTCAGGAGAGAGTGAAGCATGTGGGGGAACGGTGGTGCCAGTTCCCGCCAAAACAGGAAGAAGGGATAACTCTTGGTGAGTAGTGATTAGTGATTTTACGTACGCTTTATTGAAGGAGCTTCAATAAGGAGATACAAGTGTTCCACTATGTTCGCAAGAGGAAGAAGACAAGCAATTAAGCATGAGTCAGGATAAGTATAAAATATCAATTTTATTCAGAAAATTACATTTTCAGTTTGTCGCGTCATTATGTGAATCCCTTGCAGTTGAAAAGTCCACACAGTCAAGCAGTATAGGCTTGATGGTGGACACTTCATCGCAAGAGACACACATGGGAGGTCCATCCCCATCTGTTTTCAGCAGATAGTCATGAGTAAACTGACTGTGGCCTATACGACATTGTCATAGAATTACCTCACCACGTCTTGACTGACAACCCAAGTAGGTATAACCAATTGTTGGCTTCAATTCATGCAGTTTATTTCTTCCTGCTTGGGTGTCCCACCTTTTCTGCATAAGGTCATAACTTTTGATAGTGGGTTTGAAATCACTGTACGGGATCAGCAGTGGAGATAAGTGTTTGTCAAGAGCTGCTTTAGCTGCAACATCGGCCTTTGTGTTACCTTCTATGCTGATGTGACCCGGGAACCAGCAGAGGACGATGTCACATTGGCCAGTAGAAAGATCGTTGTAAAGTTCTAAGATGTCTGGGATGATAGGATAACTGGAAGTAAAATTTTGAAGTGCTTGAAGGCAAGATAATGAATCTGTAAAAACAATGAAGTTTTTGGAATGGTTCTGTTGTTTAATATAGGTCAAAGCTTGTGATCTATGGGTGTTATACTTGGAACATAACTGGTTGTATTCCTGCTAGAACACCAAAGGATTAGTTTCAGACTTTTTTTATTTTATCAAGGGTAAGATCGACCTGTGGTTTCACCATCTGCCAAGGTGGCGAAGAGAGAAGTCGGTAAGGTGCTGTGAGATCAATATTAGCTGCAGATATGTGTGGTTGTATTCTGATTCCAAGTGGTGGAACCAGGCGTGGCAGATTAAGAAACAGGCTTTCATAGAGAGAGTTGAAAACACAATTGTATGCTTGATTGGACTCATTTGAATGTAATTTAGTGATATACTGCAGTGAAAGTTTAATGTCATTGTTAACATTAAACCTACTGTCTACATATCAAGGTGAGCTACTCTGCCATGGCACTATTATATTCTGCTTTCGACACCAGGATAAGAAACAAGATGTTTGTTAACATCCTTTCTTTGTGTCTTCACATTATACAATTTCATTTACTGCGGCTATTTGCTGGAAAGATGTGTGCTATTCTATGAACTGAAATGAATATCCTGTTCATTGTATTGTTCAGAAAACCGAAAGTTTAGTTGGTGTATATTACATTTTGATTTGTTGAGGGTATGTTGTCATGGAACCGGGGGACACTATCTTTAAGATTTATAAATTGATACACTGATTAGAAAAATTGTAAGCATAACAATATACATCTTGAACATGGTATACACTTTACAGATAGTAACAAGAAGGTGTCACTTGGTGAAGATCAGCAAAGAGAGATTTGACTTTACTGTGGACTACATATGTCAAATATTGCGTCAAGAAAATGATGTCTATATGTAAGTATACATCAAATGATTTAATTATCTACAACAAGATATATACAGTTACCTGTGACCATGACTAAATAGGTCCTTTCAGATGATTGTGTGAACAAATATTACTGTTTTGTTTCAAGTTAGTTTACCAACCATTTGTTCCTGATCCTGCAGTAACTATCAAAAAGGTTTCCAGAAAATAATATGTAAACAGGTCATGTGAATAGCAGTATTAAGAAAGCCAGATGGCTATAACACATGATGACATTTGCATAAAAGTGTTTCCGGTACCACTCGTCAAGTCATGCTAACATTTTATGTTCTACTGACAGACAACAAATCTTTGGTTTCTTTCAGTGAAATTCAACAACCTTTTGAGCCAGGTGTTAAATACAATGGTAGGTACTTTTTTTTGCAAATCTAACACAAACAAGGCTAGTGACACATTTTCCATATAGTCCCTTTGGACAACAACTGATCAGTAGCTATGTACAACAGATTGATAAATCAAAAATTGAATTTCTTGCCTGTGGGACAAGTACCGTCAAACGGGTGGGGTTTGCAATGAGACCTGGACATGGTAGACAAAAATCAACGACACCTAGGCAGGATTAATGGCTAGACATTAATGGGTCTACACAATGGGTTCAAATCAGCACATGTAAAAAAGATCTGGTTCCCCATAGTAAAAGTTCCGCTGGAACTTTTCAATCCAATATTTGTTCCTGTAATAGTGCATGCGGAACAAATATTTTGTTACGCATACACAGAATTTATTCCGGGCAAATAGGAACTTCCACACACATCCTAAAGTGTCTAAAAGAGGGTTTTGTTTGTAGGGGTAGTCTTAAAAAATGGGGTGTGTTTTTTTTGAGGGGGAGGGAACGGAAAGGAAGAAAGGATTTTTCCTACGGCATTTGTTCCATATGGAACAAATCCTGTGGCTATCAAGAAGCAATCATCATGTGTGAAAGTTCCTTAAAAAAGGACTAAATACAGTATTGTTGTGATTGGCATCATTTGTCTTTATTTTGGACATTGGTTTCATCTTATCTGACTGCATACATGTGTATTTAAACCTAATGAAAATACTCATAAATGCTACTCTGTCTCTTTTTATCACGACACTTTCTTCTTGGTCTGTTATTTTCTATGGTCATTATGGAAATAGATTCCCCAGAATCTGAACTGATGATTCTAAATGAATCTTGTGTTAAAAAGAGTTCTCTTTCAATGACGTCTGTGGAATGTAGTTCAACCACATTGCAGTTTTCATCCATCTGCTCACCTTCAATAGTTTCAGCAACATTTTCGACTTGCACAACTTCACTGTTCAAATTCTTGTAATTTTGAGGACTACATGTTGCTGCTGGTTCATGATATTTCTTGATATTCATTTGTTTGTATGTGCTGATAAAACAACCTTCCATAGAGCTAACTTGATACGTGCCCTCTCGGGTTTTTCCTGATATCATGTAGGGTCCATTCCATTTCACTTTAATAAGTCCTTTTTGTCTCTTTCGCGATTTCACCATGACTTTGTCACCTACTGTAAACTTTTGTGCTTCCACTCTGTGGCGTCTGTCAAAATGCTTCTTCTGAATTTGTTGAGCCTTTTCATTATTACTCAAAACAGTCTCTGTAATTTGAGACTTCATGTCTTGTATTATCTGAACACACTTCTCAATCTCTTGTTCACTGTAGGCCTGAAATTTAGCATTTGTGGATGCAGTTTCCCTATGACAATTTTCATTAGGCAATACTGGATTTAGCCAAAACATCAAATAAAATGGCGAAAACTACGTCGATGAATGTTTAGACGTGTTGTAAGCGAATAAACATCCAGGAATGAATTGTTCCCACTTACTCGGTTCATTCTGCACAACCTTATTCAACATGTTCTTTAATGTCTGGTTGAGTCTTTCACACTTTCCATTGGATTGAGGATGGAATGGACTGGTATTAATATGTTTATACCCATATACCTTTGCCAACTCTCTCATCAACGAAGAGTTAAATTCTCCTCCATTATCACTTACAATTTCCAGTGGTACACCAAACATGCAAAACATGTCATGAAGACATTTGGCAACATTAACACTTTCTTTTGAAGGTATGGGTACTGCTTGGGCATAATTAGTAAAATAGTCAATTACAGTCAACACATAACAGTAACCTGCTTCAGACAATGGCTCATTTTTGTCTTTCATGAAAGGGCCAATAAGGTCAATACCTATTCTTTTCCATGCCCCAGATGGTATTGGAATTGGATTCATTTCACTCGGTGTTGTTTTGCACTTTTTGTTGGTTTTCTGACATTCTTCACATGTCCTGACATAGTCTCTGACATCCTTATAGGACCCTTTCCAGTAGTACCTCTCAGCCACTTTAGAATACGTCTTGTCCATCCCCAAATGGGAAGCTGAAATTGTAAAGATAAAAGTACAGTGGGTAATACATTATTATAATTATCATTAATATAAAGCACCACCCAAATCCAAATAAACACGATCACAATATTTGATAATATGCATTCAATTCGTGGCATTTCACCTTTCTTTAAAATATGTACATCTATTTCAAAATATTATTTCAAGAATGTATGTATAATATCTACATGTCGTCATTGAATTAGCTTATGATGAAATAATCTGTACACATGTCAAAAGTACAGCATGTATCAGGTGATAAGGGTCCTGATCGAAATCGAGGAGGACGCGTGAAGATCCGGGGTAGAATAGGTCTTCAGCAACCCATGTGCTTGCCATAAAAGGTGACTATCTTGTCGTAAAGAAGAGACTAATTAACGGGATCGGGTGGTCAGTTTCAGCTGACTTGGTTGACACATGTCATCGGTTCCCAATTGCGCAGATCGATGCTCATGCTGTTGATCACTGGATTGTCTGGTCCAGACTCGATTATTTACAGACCGCCGCCATATAGCTGGAATATTGCTGAGTGTATGCGTAAAACTAAACTCACTCACTCACTCAGTACTGAAGAATTGTTCAAATATCTTTCGATTATAATTTGATGTATAGTTTGGGTAAACTTACATTGATCAATATGGCACATCCTCATGGGTGCTAATTTCTGGTCACTAGTTATCACAAGCTTCAATGGAGCTGAGTTATCTTTGCTGTCGTCCGATACATAGTACAATGAAGCTTCGCGAAACATGAAATGCTTTGTTTTCACAAATATACTCTATTAGAGCTGTGTATTCCCCTGTCTCCATGTTGCACCTTCCTGCTGTGTGGCACATGCCCGCTTGTTAACTTTGTTTTCATCTTGATCTAACGTGTTTCACGTGTATTTCGTGCTAGAGAGATCTCGGATGTTGACAAGTTGGGCGAGTCCATTTTGCATTCAATAATGACTGGAGTTGGTTAGGCCTACGGTATTTGTTCCTGTTGGATGGAATATTTGCCGTGTGTGCGGAATTTGTATTCGTGTCATCCGTTCACTATCTCATGGCATTTATTCCGAGACGGAACATTTATTACTCGGAACTAAATCATGTTTACACACCTGCTATCAATAGGGAATTCCGTACAATAACTGGATGACAAATTTCAGTATCAACCATTAAGAACCGACTCTATCAAGCCCGTCTGAAAGCAAGGCGGCCTGTGAAGGGTGTCACCCTCACAGCTCACCATAGGCACCAAAGATTGGTCTGGGCTAGACAGCATCAGGGACGGGCTTTGCACCATTGGCGTTACACCATGTTCTTGGATGAGTCAAGGTTTTGCCTCCGATTCACAGATGGCAGAAAACGTTGTTGGCGCCGTAGTGGTGAGTGGTATGCCAGAGCGTCAATCATTGACTATGATCGGTATGGGTTTTTTTATTACACATGATAGGCAATCGGATCTATTCATCGTTAATGAACAATGGACTGGTCAGCGATATGTTGATGAAATTTTGCGTGGCGTGGCTCCACTGGCTAGTATTATCGCCAAGAATTTTGATAATGCCAGACCATTCATGCCCAAGTCTTCACTGCTTATCTCCGACGAAGGGCATACAGACATTGGACTGGCCCTCTAAGTCCCCAGACATGTACTCAATTGAGCATCTGTGGGACATTCTCGGCTGGAGGGTGTAAGCCAGGGATCCCGCACCCATCAACCTTGCCCAGCTTTGGGTAGCTCTTCAGGCAGAATGGTGGACAATACCATGAGCAACCGTCTGGAGGTAACCATCAGTATACCAACAAGGTGTCGAGTATATGTCTCCCAACATGGTGGACACACCAGATATTGAACTTTATGCCTAAAATTGATTTTGTGGCCATTTAGAGCAATTACACATTCACTGTCATTTCATCAGTTCCCTTATTTTTGTTGGTAGTATGCATTGATATAATTGGAATAGATAACACAATGATATATTGTCATCTTCGCAATAACGTCTTTTGCGATACCACTGTCTTGGTTAAAGTCATCAGAAATAGCATATCAACAAATCCACTGCTGTGCTCAAGTTAATCAAGTTGTAAGGATTAATTTGCAAAATTCAGTGCAGATGGAATTATGTTCTCATAAAATGGGTTTTCAGATGCTTTTTTTGATCAGAACATTGTACTAACATATATGAAGACATGCCTTCAGCTGAATGTTTACAAAGTTTACATGATACAATCTGAAAACAATATGCTTACTTCGCCTCATTCTGTAGGTGTACATAAGGGTCCGCTCTTTGCCCACTCTGGAACAGCACCAATTTCACAGCAATCATGATCTGATTATGGTCTTGTCATCCATGGACCCCAAACCCACATTAAGCACTCGTTGAAAGTAATATTTTACAATTAAATGTCAACATTTTGTAATTATTGGCGTAAACATTCCCTCTGGGTTGTGTTAGCCTTTTCCTCCATCACTTGGTGATGTGTTACAGACTCTGAAAGTATATATGTTGGAAAACTATGGACTAGGACCAGGATGCCCCTGGAATCTGGAGATTATTCTCATTTTCAGTTAACCCCTTGGGGAAGTAAGGTGTCCCGTGTCTCATCTAATGACATATGACACAGAGGAGGCATTTGGCAGCACTTAAGCCCTCTGGTGAAATAATTTAAGGACTTTCAGATCAGATCTCATTGTATCGCAAGACCTTATCACAGCCACTGTAATTTTGTCTGAGGAGTATCAAAGGGACACTGCTATGGACCAGGACATAGATCTCACAGACTGCATGGTCTCCATGGATCAGAAGGAGCAATCTTACTGTGTGCTGCCTAGTCAAATCCACCAAGAACTTTCCGGAGAATATGTAGACTCCCTAACAGTGCAGCCTTCTGCATTACCCAGAGTGTCAGAAGGGCTGTGTCCCCGTTGGAGAACCCAGGCACTCTCCTGATCTGCGCCATGAAATCAGGAGGTACCAACCA